TTTCTTTGATCTGTTTCTTCATTTTGCTGCTGTCCAGAGCATTCATTTTTATGAAAGTTCTTCAGGAATTCTTGAAGTTRATTTTTGTGAGCGATGAGAGTCAGAGCGCTAGCCAGCGAGCCTTTCCGTTTCGGTGACGTTGACGTCGAGCTGACAATAGCACTRAGCAATAATGACCCTCCTATGGACCGACGTCTGTATGGTGTCCGAGGATCYCAGAACCTTGCCCTTTGTCGTTCCAAAATGTCACCTGCCGAAAGTCTCTTTTTATTTGGAAAATCTATTTTAACGTCATTTTGAAGTCCAGATAAACAATCCATAGAATCWTTTTCTGCTATTTGGTGGGCGTTTTCCGCAATAGATTCCCCGCYAATTTCTGGGTRYAACGTWTTCTGTATATAATTYAAATCAGCGGAAGACGAAAGTTCTTTACCATCGGTTTCGCATATTTCATGGTCTTCAGTTGCCTCTGCAGAAGTTGCTTCCAAAAGTACACTCAAAGAATGTGATCTCCCTCTGGTATAATTAATCTCTGTTTCATCAAAGTCTTTGACAACTGTAAATAATTGTTCGATGCTTTCTTTTGATTTGGTCAGTGTCCTTTTACTCCTATAGACATCTATAGAGTCTTGCTTCATGATCACCCTCTTAGAGTTAAAGAAAGGAGTGGCATCTAGAGAATGTGATCTACTGAAAGGAGTGGCATCTAGAGAATGTGATCTACTTCGACGTCCCTCCACTATCCCTGGTGTGGGTGTAGCTTTTGAAGGGATTGGATCTGAATACCTCGTGAAAAGCTGCTCCTTGCTACTTTGCGATGTATTATCTGAATTCAAATTACTAGTGCCAGGTGTTTCGCTCACGTCCACAGATGATCCACTAGRACTGGGAACAAGTCCTTGAAGTGCGGAGTAAAGATCYCGAATTTCGTCGACTGAAGCCGATGATCTTCGCTTCTCTGTGGGSCCATCTTCAATACCAACATCTTGTTTGTGGTTTTTCATCTTTTGTTTAGCGTGGAGATATGAATGGCGATTTCCTGAGGAGAATTAAAGTACGAATAAAAAATATTTGGTTTATTAAAGAGCTAAGCTGGAAACTGCATCCGGAAATTATTTATTGCTAAAGAATAAGACCAAAAAGGAAGTATAGTTTGGATGGGAATCCCAACCGAGAGCAAAGAAAAATGTCTGTATAACAATTGTATGTTTGTTTTCTTTACTGCTTTCCCAGGACGATCTATACGGTTATACAACAGCTGGTAAAATAGTCAGATTCAGTTCTATAGAACACTCCACAAAGGCGCTGTTGCTTGCTATATTTGGAAGCTTTGTTTGTGTCACAATTGTGTCACAGCTCGAAACCGGAATCACAAAATTTCAAAACAAATCGCAATTGCGCACATCAGCAAAACCAAAGTCAGTAGAATTAAGATTTATTTCACTGAAAAACRATTTTATTCGTTTAAAACTTTATGAAAATTTCGTTGTAAAATAAAAAAAAAATATACCTTACAGAGACTTTCGTCAGTCGTTTCTTGCTCTTTAAATTAACCTAATCAAGCTTAGCTATGAATGTGTGAAATAATTTACGTTAATTCGTTCGTTAGGATATATATACAGTATTTTTATGTTCTTGTCAAAAATGGCCGACATCAATTATTAATTATATGTCATTCTCATCAGCAAGGTTAAACTTTCAACAATAAGAAAGTTTTCCAAAACTGAACTATACTTGTACTATGTTTGAACGTCTGAGAAAGTAAATTCTGAGCAGAATTTGTTAACGTTAATTGCTTTCTGTTTTCARTGTTATGTGAGATACTTGAGAAATAAAATACTGCGTGTCGAGCCGGCTAGCTAAAAATAGTTACATGTAACACTGTTCCAAAGTTGGATTCGGCAAATTTTATCGGTCAACCACAATAATTTTTAGCCGAAAAACTCGAATTTCCACTGAGAGAATAAAAAATCCAATTAGCTCAGTCTTAAGAAAGACAAATAAATTGTTCTGACATATGACAACTATATCACAAACGTCTTTCAAGAACTAAATTTAAATTCATAAAAGAAAAACAGAAACGTCAGGAGAAATAAGAAAAAAAGAAGCCAAGTTTTAGTTCCTTAGAATATTCATAAAGATCACCCAATTGATTTTAAAGAAAAATCTATAAATTCAATTACCATAGTTACATTCTAAAACGATTTTTGGAAACTTAGTTACATTCTAAAACGATTTTTGAAAACTTACTCTGAATATATGGTCTTCCACAGGAATCCATTTTCAAAGAAATGTCCCGAAGAGAGCAAAATGCCCAACATCAAGGTTTGTTGTTATAGTCTACCAAACAACAAATCACCCCTGCTAATACGAACGATGTTAAAAAAGACTTCAAAAGAAACCCGCTGTTATTCGCTTTAAATGCTAAACCTAAATGTTTATGAATGTAGTAGTTTCTTACTCAAGTCACGTGATTGCATTCCACCAATGGTACTAGGTACCCTAAGTGACCTTATTTAAAAAGTTAAAAATAGAAACTAATACTTTCTTAAGGAACAATATCCAAGTGTTATAAGYTGATGCCATGTAAATTTCTTGAAATATTTGAGTTATTTTGTGTTAAGACGCAGTGTTACATATTTGATTTTCGTTGCATTAGTGCGAATTTACTTTTGTTATTGTTTCTCTTCTTTGTTTATGAAGAAAAGATTTATTTAGACTTATTTCAAAAGCTTTCACTTTCAAATCCAATATCATGCAATTCGAATCTCACTATTCTCTATCTATTTTGGTATATAAATATAAATTTCTAATGTTCACAAAAACCATATAATTGAATAAAGTACCAGTCCACAATATATACATCACTGTTAAATTTGAATTTTCTAATTGTAATAACCGTTAAAGACAAGAATATTATGATACATTTATTGAACAACTTTGAACTACATTTATACATAATACAAATCTATCTAAGGTATTGCACGAACTGCACGGTCGATGACATAACTCTTATTGTACTAACCCWCGAACGAACACGAACTAATGATTCCTTTATTTCAGTACATAGCACTAATGATGGCCTTTAGGACAGTTCTATTCTATTTTTATAATTTTAAAAAATATTTTGACAGAATGTCAATAAAACCAACCTAAACTTCTAACAAACGAAATTTTGTTTCTATGATTCCAAAGTTTATGGACTTTTCGGAAATGACCTCTTTGAAATAATACTCGTATAACATATCCATGGTTACTTCAAATCACTAGTACACAGTTGCTTTGGATATGCTTTGGATATCATCAACGAATATTATTAGCTACAATTGTGTTGCAATGTTCCATATTCATGTTTGCTATTGAGGTTTTAATTATACTTGTTTCATATAATAAAATGCAGTACTAACGACAAAAGATAGAAGTGGTAGTTTATAGTAATACAATGTAAGTTATCAAAACAATTATAACTCAGTGATCTTTTCGAATTTCTGTTTGGAAACTCCAATAAATTCAATCAAAAATGTCGCCGATCGTTTCCCTGTGTACTAATGTGAAAAGATTCAACTTA